TTTCTCCTTTTCCCTTCTACTTTCACCCTTCTTGATTCTCCTTCACTATCTATCTATCTATATGTTAGCTGTCTGACTATTAGTCTGACTACCTGTGTGTCTGTCTATATCTATCCATATCCGTAGCTATATCTATATCTATGACTTTCTATCTCTATCTTTCACTCGCCCTCGCACTCTCACTCGCACTCTCTCATGTCTATATAACTTTCCGTGGCCCCGTCCGCCCGAGCGTCGCCACCTACCTAAAGCGCGGCGCGGGGTGGCTCTGAGCTTCGCAAAAGAGAGGGATCACCGCGCCCTTTCGCTGTTCCACTATGACCCCTTTATCCCGGCTGGGCAGACGGGGGGCGCTGCTCCCTACCGGCTCTAGAGGAAGGAAGCCGATCAATGAGAGCAGGGAGGCTTCCGGTTAGGGAGCGAGTGAGAGAGAAAACAAAACAAATGCGCAAAGACAAAGAGAACTGAATGTGTGGCGCGGGGGAAGTTATTTAACTGTGTGTTGTATTACATCGATAAAAAAATATAAACCAATAACTACAGAGCGCGACGCAAACACTTCTTAATGACACACTGTAATCAGCAACGCCCACAACACGCCCGAAACTCCGATTAACCAGGGCTTTACCCCGACACGGCGCCCGCTTACCGAAGGTGGGAAGGGCGTACTGACCTGACGGAGGGCGGCGGGTTGCCCTGAGCCTGGCACAGAAGAGAGAAGGAAGAGCCTGCCTCTTGGCTGACCATCGACCCCGTCTCCTTAGAAGGAAGCTTCGGCGCCGACAGGCCGATGGGCTCTGAATCAGGCAGTCTTTGCTTATGAAAGTGTTCTTATTTACAAACTGTCGGTCTTTACTGAAGATTATTTTGACGGTCAAGCAGAGCCTGAATGTCGACACGAGATTCGGTCTCACAATTCTTCAATGGAGGTATCACAACATCGATTTCATGTGATCTGTTAAATTAATCCATCTGACACGGACTAATCATATATATTTCCTTTCTCATCTTCGATTGTCGTTAGCAATCCTTATTATCAATTTAAAAAATCCTTTTCGTTACAAACGTGAAATACCAAAGTCCTCCCTCTCGGCCTAGAAAACAGCGAACCCTTCCTCCTGTGCAACCAGTAACTAAAGACGCCGTTACACTACCTTGTGGTGGGCGCCGGCGACGCCTGGGCCTCGCACAGCAAAGTGGTGGCAATGCCCTGAACAACGTCGAAATTATGCGCCTTATCTCTAGACGGTAACTTAGGGGGAGACATTGCCACGACCTCTGCAAGAATAACCGAGAGACGTGCACTCTTGCTAACATGCACCTTGTGGCTAGTCGGGATAAGGTACTCCTGCTTTCACTATCGAATAGCTACACACGCAAACACACCAATAAACCAATAAATACGTATATAACAATAATAGAGAAAAACAAAACAAATGCGCAAAGACAAAGAGAACTGAATGTGTGGCGCGGGGGAAGTTATTTAACTGTGTGTTGTATTACATCGATAAAAAAATATAACCAATAACTACAGAGCGCGACGCAAACACTTCTTAATGACACACTGTAATCAGCAACGCCCACAACACGCCCGAAACTCCGATTAACCAGGGCTTTACCCCGACACGGCGCCCGCTTACCGAAGGTGGGAAGGGCGTACTGACCTGACGGAGGGCGGCGGGTTGCCCTGAGCCTGGCACAGAAGAGAGAAGGAAGAGCCTGCCTCTTGGCTGACCATCGACCCCGTCTCCTTAGAAGGAAGCTTCGGCGCCGACAGGCCGATGGGCTCTGAATCAGGCAGTCTTTGCTTATGAAAGTGTTCTTATTTACAAACTGTCGGTCTTTACTTAAGATTATTTTGACGGTCAAGCAGAGCCTGAATGTCGACACGAGATTCGGTCTCACAATTCTTCAATGGAGGTATCACAACATCGATTTCATGTGATCTGTTAAATCAATCCATCTGACACGGACTAATCATATATATTTCTTTTCTCATCTCCGATTGCCGTTAGCAATCCTTATTATCAATCTAAAAAATCCTTTTCGTTACAAACGTGAAATACCAAAGTCCTCCCTCTCGGCCTAGAAAACAGCGCACCCTTCCCCCTGTGCAACCAGTAACTAAAGACGCCGTTACACTACCTTGTGGTGGGCGCCGGCGACGCCTGGGCCTCGCACAGCAAAGTGGTGGCAATGCCCTGAGCAACGTCGAAATTATGCGCCTTATCTCTAGACGGTAACTTAGGGGGAGACATTGCCACGACCTCTGCAAGAATAACCGAGAGACGTGCACTCCTGCTAACATGCACCTTGTGGCTAGTCGGGATAAGGTACTCCTGTTTTCACTATCGAATAGCTACACACGCAAACACACCAATAAACCAATAAATACGTATATAACAATAATAATGAAAATGTACTGGCACACTCGCATCCCTTTTCCTAAAACAAGCCACGCCATCCCATATAGACAGTGGAAGAAAAAAAGAATAATAAAAATAACCCGCCATCCCTTGGAGATTTCAACTCCGACCAAGGAGTAATCCACGCCTAATTCCATCTCCAGAGGACGCCTACTCTACCTAAAGCTCGGCGGAGGACTGGCCTGCGCCTCGCACAGGACCGTGGTGGGGAGTCCTGCCGCCACGTCGAAAGTCTGCGAACGACTGCGCGTGGTGAGGTGGGGGGCGCTGCTCCCCGCTGGATCTGGAACGCCAACATGCGCCGCGTCAACTACTTGTTTTCTTGGTTGTCCGTGTAACATCTTCGTCATTTCGAATGTCGGATAGGTTTCGCCCAGCACTCTCTGCCCAATTTACGACGATAGCCTAAGCCAGTAATTCATATTCTCCTTGATATTGGAACTGGGGTTTCACACTCTCTCACAAATTCCCAAACTTTTCCCAATATACTGTGACAGGTAATCGCACGCTGCTGCAGTTCAACCCAAATATATAACACCAATGTTATTTAGCGATAAGTTACGATTCCACGACAACCAAAGGTAGCATATTATTTTCACAATGTATATATTTCACTATAATATCTTTGCAGTCATAAAAACGGACATGAGTGTATGGGTCCTTTGCAAACAGTCTAAAGCCGTAGAGTGAGTCCGGGTGCGCGATCTCAAAGCCAGATGATTGGTCGAGGATGTTCGCGCTCAACCAATCAAGCGTCCCCGCTGCTTATCTGTTCCATCAACCTCGCAAAGCTTTTAATTTTGATGCTACGTAATCACAACACAAATATCACTCTGGTGCGCGCACATACTGCAATTCCTTAGCAAGACATGTCTACGGGTTTAGAAAGTTAATTGAAAACCCCTTTATCTGCGTCTGACATGACATATGAAAATGTCAACATTCTAAAGGGAACTCCATAGGCTGTGTAAGACAGCCGGGAAAAAAGGGGAAGAGGGGTGAGGGGATAACCACGCACCAGAGTGACAAAAACAAATCCTTCACTTACCTTTGCTGCCGCCAGATGTCCTGCTTGAGTACTGACCATCACATCTACTTATAACTGACTCGAGTAATTAGTCATTAACAAAGTAATAATCAAGAGAGAATTCCAAATATCTACTCCTTTGAAAACCCTAATCATAAAACAACTAACTGACCCTATTGTACTTTCTCAAATCCTAGCTCATGTGTATGTATGTACGTGTACATGTATGTGTCCGTGTGCGTGTATGTGTGTGTATGCGTCACGCGTAACGTTAACTTCTCTTTGAATTCAAAGAAGAGAGAGACTCATCGCGCAACGTAATTTTGAACTCTCAAAATCAAACTCAAAATCTAAGAGACAGAGGCAATATAGCAATCCGACATCTTTCGGATATTTTGTGCTAATCGTGAATATTGATTGGATCTTTTATTCTAATAATTTTGAACTTTTTGAAAGCCAATTGAACAAAATTTAGCGAGACGGCAGGGGTACCCTATCCCAACATTCAGGCTCCTTGTTCAAACCAGCGGCATCCACAGACACACCCTATGAAGGCACGGGCGAAAATACGTTGAGCTCACATGTGATATTGACCCTTAGTTGCACCATGCCGTCATAAAAGTGTCGCTCCGTGGATGTCACTGGTTATTATATTCTAAAATATGTATATTTCAAATATGTTTCATATTTCACATCAATCAAAGTTTACTTTACTTGATCTGGTCCGACAAAAAAAGCATTTACATGGAACCAGATGACAAACACTAAATCTACTTTAATATATTTCAACATTGCATGCACATAAATACCCTCCCAATTTGGACTGCGTCCAATCTTCAGCCCCTTTTTAATATTCTAATCTAATAATCACAACAAGTCGTTTAACCCACTTTAAAAAATCCAAAATTCCATGAAACTTATTCTTGCCATATAACTAAGACCTTTGTCTTACGTCAAAGTTGGTATATCTGTTATAATGATTAAAACACTAGTAAAGGATGCTCTAACATGATTCTTCTATTTATTTTCTAGCTCAAATCCTAAAAACTGCAGCATTACATCCCTCCCCTTTCCTTTACTTTTTTCTATTGCATTTTCCTTCTATGGCCTATTTCCTTTCCTCTGTTTCTGACACCCCGTTCTTTCTGCATCTTCATATCATTCATTATATGTTTCTTTTTCCCATCCCCTAACCTCGCAATGATAATAACCCTCCCTGCACATGTTCGCCTATCTTGATCTATTCAAGCTCGTTTATCCTTGCCTAACCAACTAAGCCTAACCCAAATCGACCCAATCTTAGCCCAGCGCATTGTTATACAGCCCTATACTATAAAAGAAACACCCACAATACAAGAAGTACATCTTCAGCCCTATACTATGCAATATACCTTAATATAACCCAACAATATAATAATTAAATTGCTCTGAAATAACATGTGACATAACGTAATAGGCCTATATCCTAACCTAGCCCAGCCCTTTACTCAGACCCCCCCCCCCATCCCCACCCTTCCTCGCCCGTCCGACGCCAGCGCCAGACCTACCGGAGATCACAAGACGTCCAGCGGTGGCGGAGAGACGAGTTTCCTGGGTGAGGCGGTGCACGGTGCGGCATTTGTAGCTCTTGAAGCCATCTTCGGAGCTGACGGAGCGGATGTGGAGTTCGCCGGAGGGAAGGACCAGGTACTTGCCGTCTGGAGGAGGGGAGACGGGGGAAGAAACGTTAGTACTGACTTCGTCTTCACCCAGGGAGAGGACACCACTGATGCTTGGACTTTTAATTTAGTTGAGTCTATTTTGTGTCGTCTGAGATTCTTTCCTCTTGTAAAAATATCTGATACGAAGTTAATTTGTAAGCATTGTAACAGTTTTTTTTTAATCGAGAGATAAAGTTGAGTCAGATTTTTGAAAATTAGTTAAATAATAGTGAAATCTTATAATCATTCATTATCCTTCATATCTAATCTCTGTATCATTTTTTTTTATTGTAACAATACAAGTTTTGATATAGAAAGTTCTAACTTATAATCGCTATAACAGTATTTATCATAACGTGAATATTGGCTAGCTGTCAAAGATTTTCACAGCTCCCATAAAAGTCCAAGAAGAAGTGGTATCCTTTTAAGAACAATAATCTTCATAAAATAACCCATCACATATCCATTTTTCCACTGGAAACCCGGCAAAGTCTTGGCACGTTTTCCAGGCGTGAATGAATGCCCGTCAACCCTCATACCCTTTGATGAAGCCCCTCCCTCTGAGAGCCTGTGACTCCTCCCACCGCCTTTAAGACTCCACCCCCTACGACCACTTAAACTCCGCCTACATCCGTCGCCGACGTCGCTGCAGACTGCCGCTTTCTCGTTGCTTTTAGTGGTCATGAAAGGGAAGTAAAAAGGGCTTTGGGAGGATATAAACACATAACAAGTACTTTCAGCTTTTTTTCAATTTCCATTCTCATTCAGATCCCCAAATGAAGCTTTATATCTTTAAAATGGATATATGATGGGAAGCTAACCGTCTGAAGTTTGCAACGTATTGCAAGGAGCGAGAAGAGCTAATCTGCACATTCCCTTTGATCTCACGAGTGTGTCATTATCAATTTCTTTCAAAAGAAATAATTACGAGCATTTCGTAGCGGAAAAATTAAATAAAAAGAAATCTTGCTCCCCGAAAACTCACTGAGATGAAATGCCGCCCATCGAACTTTATAATTCTTTATCTTCGAAATCAAAGTTGCAATCCGAAGTCAAATCAAAGTCTCTGGGATATCCCGTGATGAGGTTTCAAATGGCAAATTACTTTCGACAAAGTTGAAATGCCGCGGCGATATTTCTTTCTTTTTTTCTTTCAACAGGAGATCTCAGAAATGCAAATGAAGTTACGTGCTGAAGCAAATGAATTCCTAAAGTTAAACTGAAAATATTAAATTTGTTTATCTAAGACACAAAGCGTGTTATTAGCGACACTTCCCTGAGTATACGTGGCAAACTCTTCAAGTTAGCTTACAAGGACATGGATAATAAAAATAAAAGGTCACAATAAATTATATATATATACCTTAATTCCACTGCTGAGCTCGTCAAAAAATCTCCATCTTCAACATTTAATGAAGTGAGATGCATTTTTTTCAATTATACACTTGTTCTTATTGATTATAAAGGTTATGGAGATTTCTTGATAATTGCTCAAAATGGAATTCAATAATCCATAGCACATCCTGACATCATAACTAACCTAACTGAATCTATCAAAATCACAAGAAATATCAAATTGCAATTGGTTACTTTACTTTAATGGACACTGGCAAATGTAAATAACAATTATTCACTTAAAATCATTTAAATCTAATTACTTCACAAAGTTAATCAATAGAGTTAATCCAAAATTCATATTGACTTCTATAAGCTCCTTGTCTAAGCCTACACAGTAATAATAATAGACATCTGATAAATTTTTATCCTTAGTAACTATCCCAAGAGTGCAGAGACAAGCCTGTGGGAGTCACAGCAAGTTTGTGCCGTATTGATTGTTATGTAGGCACAAGGCAAGAGCTAGGAACCTTCCAGAAGTAAGGCATCACTTCACTGTGTCTCCCAAATGCCGTCTATCCCATATCATAGTCAATAATAATAGATCACACAAGGGAAATTCTTATTCTAAAATAGCAATTACACACAGGATATATCAATATGGACATGGTATTTTTGTTTTAAATCGGTCAGTGGCCAGGGGTGAAATCAGGTTCCTCCAGTCATCTCTCCATCAGCAGCAGCAGCAGCATCCAGCATCACCCCCAAGCCACAGCGAACCACCACAACGGAGATCAACAACATTCAATCACAGCGCAACATAACCAAATATGCCCCCCACCCTCCCCGCGCCCCCCTTCCCCATTGCATCATCATAGCGGAACACTCGGATGCCAGGAATAGCTGTGACGTATGAGTGTTTGTGTTGCCCACCGGAAGTCCAGCATCTGTCCCACTTCCGGTGGTTGGGGCGGCTTTCCCCTTCACCTGGAAACGCTCATAATTCATGCACGATGCGCGTTGAACTATCGCGTGGCATCGACCAAGCGGAGAGACAGGCATGTATGTATGCGTGTGTTTATGTGTGTGGAATGTGTTGGTATTCATAAATGGCTTCCACGTTCATATTTTGCACAGTCATGGACACGGAATATCCCGCCCTCGAAATAGCATATTAGAATGCGGAATAATTCAATGAATATACATAAAATATTAGCTGGCGGAGGATACAAAAAGGCGAAGGACTTCCTGCTACATCCGTTCTCGTTCTTTCTGAAATGCCAATATAAACTGTAAAGAATTAAATCAGTAAAACATAACAGAAGACAAATCATATATGCATACATTAACCCACGTTAAAATGGCTCGCCTGAAAATAAAATAAAATAAGCATAAAAGTAAAACACCAGGAATGATAAAACAAAATGGCAAAAAAGGGAGAACACGAGTGCAACGAAAAGAAAAGAAGCAACGCTGCAGGCTGTGTCCTTCCTGTACACAGCTACGATACCGTGTTCGTTCGTAGGATAATACGACTGGCCGTCGTTCGTGACCCAAGCCTGCACGCTCACGAAATCGGCCACGAAGGAAGGGATGGAGCACTTGAGGATGGCCGCGTTGCCTCGGATCACGAACTCGTCACTCACTCGCGTCTCGTAAGCCTGCGCCACCACTGCAAACCGGTCACGCCTTCCATCAGACTCTCTCTTTCTCTCTCTTTCTCCTTCGCAAATTACCGCACACGCCTCTCGCGCTCTTTCCGCATGAAGGAAGGGGGAGAAGGATCGACGAAAGAGGGATGATAAGGAGAGAAGAAAGGAAAAGGCTGGAGGAAGCGAGCAAGTCGGTTTTCCCGAACAGAGAATCATAAGTGCTTGGTGACGACGGCCAGACCAAGATGCCTGGTCGTGATGCTGATGCTATTGTTGTGTTGCTCCGTTACTTTCTGCTGGCGTATTTAAACTAACCGATAAATTGATAATTATCAGTAAAAGACTTATAATCCTGGCATATTTCCCGCTTTAACCGGAAATATTTCTTAATTCCACGAATATTATAAAATGTCAAACAAGGAAAAATCAAAAACGCTTCCGCAGGTTAAAAGAAAACAGTCAGAATCAACCCAAATGAGCAAACGATACCATGATACCCAAATTACACCAGACACTAAATAGCACCTCCCCCCCCCCCCCTTCCTCCAAACCCATCCCCCTTCCTCCAAACCCACCCCCCTTCCCCCAAACCCACCCCCTAACCCACTCCTCCTTCCACCGCTCAATACACCCCCGCCATCCTCCCCCCCCTCGCTCCGCGCCCCACCTCCCCATGCCAGGATTACCATAGGATCGGCCGGGGACGAAGATGGTGGCCTCTGAATCCACCCAGGACTGCACGCTCACGAAGTCGGCCACGAAGGACGGGATCATGCACTTGAATATCGCTGAGTTGCCGGCCAGCACGTCCTCGTCAATCACCCTCGTCACGTACTTCTGTGACACGACTACAACGACAATCACACTCGTCAGTATTTTTCCGAAGAGTAAAAACAACAACACACCCGGTGACCACAGATTAAAAAAATATATATCATATATATATTTAGATTACACCTCATCGGCCCCTTGTCCCCGTGGATAAGTAATTCACTTAATCTCTTCCATAATCATCGGTCTTAAAGGATGAGAGGAAAAAAAACGGGGATAAGAAAAAAGGAAAAAAACAGCGGAAGCATATGTTAGCGGAGCCTTTCCAACCCGTGTTACTGGTTGTAACTGCCTAATATGGAGTCAGGATACCGCTGGCCATTGCCATTTTATGTGGCTGTAAATTGCTTATTTCCTACGTATAATTTGAGCCAAGCGAACATCGCCCTACTACCCCTCAGCCTTGAAGATTAATCCCCCCTCCTATTGACGAATAATCACGAATCTGACTGAAGCTACGCTACCTGCCGTCTCGCCAAGCTATGACACTGACACGAAGCACGCAACCGTAATCCTTATGACCTCCGTCCTTAGAGCCTACAGTCCTATTAGTCATGTCAGACTGGCCTCAATCACGTCCGCAGAATCGATCAACAAACATGTTATCTGAGGGTCATCTCGCATTGATTCCCCGACATGGAACCAAACCTACATTTCCTAGATTCAATTTCCCCTTAGCACTAAATAACAATAAACAAACAAAAACAAAGGCGTAATTTGCAGAAAGTACATAAATAATCCCGTAGACACATAGTCCACAACTCCTCATCTACAGCGAATCTACAGATCATTAACGATATTATCTCGCCCCATCTACGTGGATGATCGAATATTTCGCCTTCATTTACCGGGGGGAGGGGGGGGTAATGGTGTGGGAATTTGCATAACGAGACTGTTAACTCTCCATCCCTTTCCCTTCACAAAAAAATAGAAAGGCTCTGTAATGTTGACAGAGGATTAGCAAGATGGAGACACACCGAGGCCGCTCAAGGGGAGGGGGTGGGGGGTGGGGGATGGTGGGACGGAATGGAACAATAAGTCGTTAGGCATTGTCTGTGAAGGAAAATGTGGGAGGAAATGTTGCTTTCTTTATTCAGATAACATGATAAAATAATGTGAATAGCAAGAAACCACGTAAAAATAACCAGACACGAGATAAAACATAAAAAAAAGAAATCG